AAAAGGAAAAAAAAAAAAAAAAAAAGAAAGCTATCCCATTTACAATAGCAACAACAACAATGAAAATACCTAGGAATAAATTTAACCAACAAGGTGAAAGAACTCTACAATGAAAACTATAAAACACTGATTAAAGAAATTAAAGAAGATATAAAAAAAAATGGAAAGACATACTATGCTCAATATCGCCAAGATGACCATATAACCCAAAGCAATATAGAGATTCCATGCAATCCCCATCTAACTACCAATGACATACTTCACAGAAATAGAAAAAACAGTTCAAAAATTTATATGAAACAATAAGAGACCCTGAATAGCCAAAGCCACCCTGAGCAAAAAGAACAAAGCGGGGGGTGTCACACTCCCTGACTTCAAAATATACTGCAAAATGATGGCAATTGGCACAAAAACAGACACATAGACCAATGGAGCAGAATAGAGAATTCAGAGATAAATTCACTTACTTGTCAACTGATTTTTGACAAAAGAGCCAAGAACATACGTTTGGGAAAGGACAGTCTCTTCAATAAATGGTGCTGGGAAAATTGGAGATCCATATGCAGAAGAATAAAACCAGACCCCTATCTCTCACCATATACCAAAATCAACTCTAAATGGATTAAAGGCTTAAGTGTAAGACCCTCCAAAACTATAAAACTTCTAGTAGAAAACATAGGGAAAACACTTCAGGACATAAAAAATTGGCAGGGGAGGTGGTTAATTGGCCCTGGTGCTTGCTATTCTTCCTCATTTCTTCTCAGTGGTGCACTCTTTGCCAGCAGCAAAATGTATTTCAATACGGCAGTCTTTCATTATTGGTAAGATTACACTAGCAAAATATATTTTCCCTTGTAAACTATGCTATTTTTAAAAAAGTGTTTTTATAAAAGAAAAATATGCTTTTTACTTAAGAATAAAGTTTCTAAAGGGAAACCAAAAGGGAAAAAAACATATACACTGTATTGATGGAGGAAATCTCAAAGGAAATTTTAAAAATACATAGACCTAAACGAAAATAAAAATTCAACCTATTAAAAGATATGGTATGCAACCAAAACAGTGCTGAGGGAAATTTATAGCACAAAATGCTTACATTAGCAAAGAAGGAAAGTCTCAAATCAATAATCTTCTAAGTTCTTTCCTCAAGAAACTAGAAAAAGCAGAGCAATATAAACCCAAAGCAAGCAGAAGGAAGAAAATAATAAAGAGCATAAATCAGTGAAATTGAAAACAAGAAAATACAAGGGTACTTCAAAAATTCCATGGAAAAATAGAATGAAAGATAATACAAACCTTTCCATGAACTTTTTGAAGTACCATCACATAGAAGAAAAAAAGCAATAAAACAAAAATTTGCTCTTTGAAAAAAAATCAATACAATTGATAAACCTCTAACAAGACTCACAAAGATAAAAAGATAGAAGATACAAATCACCAATATCAGGAATGGAACAGGGAATAGTGCTACAAATCCTGCAGCCATTAAAAGAATAATAAGAGAATACTATAAACAACTTTATGCTCATAATTTATGCTCATAAATTCAACAACTTTGAAGAAATAGACTAATTTCTTGAAAACCACAAACTACCAAAACTCAACTAAGATAAAATAGCTAATCTGAATAATTCTCATAATGGTTGCAATGGATTCAACATTTGTATCCCCCCCAAATTCATATGTTGAAATGCTAACCCCCAATGAGATGGTACTAAGAGGTGGGCCCTTGGGAGATAAATAAGTCACAAAGGTGAAGCCCTCATGAATGGTATTACTGCCCTTAGGTCCTCAGAGAGCACTCTCATACTTTTTCTGCCATATGAAGGTACAATAAAAGTCTTGGTAGTCTGCAACCTGGAAGAATGCCCTCACCAGGACCTGACCATGCTGGTGGACTTCCAGCCTCCAGAATTGTGAGAAGTAAATTTCTTTTTTTACAAGCTACCTAATCTATGGTACTTTGTTATAGCAGCCCAATCTAAGACAACCATTAAAGAATCTGAGTTCATAATTTAAAAGTTCCCAAAAAAGAAATTTACGGGCCCAGATAATTTCATTGGGGAATTCTACCAAACACTTAGAGAATTAACAACAATCTTACACAATCTCTTCCAAAAAATAGAAGAAGGAATGCTTCCTAACTCATTTGGCTAGTATTACCCTGATACCAAAACTAGACAAAAAACAGTACGAACAAGGAAAGCTGCAGAGACCAATCTCTCTCATGAACCTAGACACAAAAATCCATACAAAAATATTAGCAAAGTGAATCTAGCAATTGATAAAAAGAATTATATACCATTCCCCACCTCACAGAGATTAAAATAAAATTAACCTCTACTTCCTAACAGTTGCAGACACACCTTTAATTCCATCAACAAAAAGGTACTAGAGCCAAGATTTCACCCTGTTTAAGTTCTGCTTATAAACTGAAGACATTCTCACTCATGCCTCCTGTGAGATGCTTCCAACTTGCAGAACTATATCTTAGTAGGTATAAACAGAAAGATAGCAGGAGCTCAAACAGTTAGGATTAAAAAATGATGACTAAATATGCATATTTCTGACTTTATTGCTTGCTATCAGAATAAAAATATCTTTTGATTATCCATGCTGATGAAAGAACAAGGTGAAACAGATGATCCATGAATCACTTGCTTCAGGATATAGGAGTACTACTTGATTTTTCTCCCCAAGACAATTATCTTTTAAATTAATTCTAACATAAGTTAATAATAAAATTGATGTCCATTCTCTGAGCAAAATACTGGTAGCCTAGATGCAGGAATGGCCTAGGAAATTGTCTGCAGGTAAACTACAAACTAGACAATAAATCACAAACTTATGGCTAATCAAAAGTTGACAAAAACAAAAAGACAGGTCTCCCTCTCTCTCATTCTGCATTTTCCATTTAAACTGACAAAATAATATTTCTTTAAAGAGGAAAATTTTAAAGGAAGTCAGTATTTGCCAACTTAGGAAGAATATCACAAAAATAGTTAAGTGGTTTTGTTATTAACAGTGGCAACTAACGACTCTCAGGAAACCAGGAGAAAGCCTGTGCTGCAATGATATATCCATTTAAAAATGTATCACTTCCTTTGAAAAATGTCTATTCATCTCCTTTGCCCTTTTTTAATTATTTGTTTTTTACTGTGTAGTTGTTTGAGTTCCTTATATATTCTGGATATTAATCCCTTGTTGGATGCATAGTTTGAAAATATTTTCTCCCATTCCATAGGTTCATATGATCCAACAATCTCACTACCGGGTATATATCCAAAGGAATGGAAATTATCATGTTGAAGGGATACCTGCACCACCACGTTCATCACAGCACTATTTACAATAGCCAAAACATGGAACCAACCTAAATGTCCATCGACACATGACTGGATAAGGAAAATATGGTATATATACACAATGGAATACTACTCAGCCAAAAAAAATAATGAAATTCTGCCATTTGCAGTAACCTGGATGAGCCTGGAGAAAATTATGTTAAGTGAAATAAGCTAGACACAGAAAGAGAAATATCACATGTCCTCACTCATAACAGGGTGGAGAGAGAGAGAGAGAGAGAGAGAGAGAGAGAAGAACACAATAATACATTGAACTTTCAAAAGGAGAAAACAAACCTAAGGATACTAGAGATGGTGGGGAGGAGGAGGGGGGTTGGGGAGTGATTGGTTGGTGTGTTAGTCCATTTCTGTTGTTTCTAACAAAATACTAGGGAACTGGGTGATCTATAAAGAAAACAAATTTTATTGCTTAGAGTTTCTGAGGCTGGAAAGTACAAAGTCCATCTGGTAGTAGTGACAGTGACCTAGGAATTTCACATTGCATGACGGTGGAAGCAGAGAGAGCAGGGAGAGAGCAAGAGACCAAGAGAGACTCTCCTCTCTCTTCTCTTAAAGCCCTCAGAACCATGCCCCTGACCACCATTTTTAACCCATTCACTGCCACGTGGTCCTACAATCTAACCACCTCTTCAAGGCTCCACCTTTCAATTGCAGAAAAGTGGGGTTGGAGCCCCCACAGGAATCCCCACTGAAGAAATATCTAGTAGAGCCAAGGGAGCAGGGCTGCTGCCCGGACCCCAGAACTGTAGGGCCACTGGCAATGTGCAATTTCAGCCTGGAAAAGCCACAGATATCAGTGCCATGCCCCACAGAGCTGTGGGGGCAAGGCTGCCTGAGGCTTTGGGGGCCCAATGCCCCATTGTGCCCAGGATGCAAGACTTGGAGATAAAAAATATTTTGGAGCTTTAAGATTTAATGTCTGACCTACTGGGTTTCAGACTTGTTTGGGGCCTGCTTCTCCTTTCTTCTGGTCTATTCCTCCCATTTGGAATGGGAATGTGCATACAAAGTCTGTTCCACCATTGTATCTTGGAAGCAGATAAATTTGTTTTTGATTTTTTACAGGTTCACAGCTGGAAGGAGTTTTGTCTTTGGTCTCAGATGATACTTTGGACCTTTAAGTTGGTGCTGGAACAAGCTAAGACTTTTGGGACTGTTGGGATGTAATAAACATGTTGTATTTTGAATGTGAGACATGAGTTTTGGGAGGCCGGGGTGGAATGATGGAGTTTGGACATATTGTCCTCTGAGAACTCGTGTGGAAATCTGATCCCCAATGTGGCAGTGTTGGAAGCTGTTTGAGTCATGGGGGCAGATCCCTCATGAATGGATTAATGCTCTCCCTGGGTGGTGCTCACGCTCTCTCTCTCTCTCTGTCGCCATGTGATCTGCTTATACCATCCAGCTGCCTGCCGTTTCCCGCCATGAGGAGAAGCAGCCTGAGGCCTGTGCCAGATGCAGCTGTCCCAGCCAGAGCAATGCTGAGCAGAAAGGTGGGGTCAGAGTTGCAGCAGAGAAAACCCATCAGTGCCATGCCTAATGGATCTGTGAGAGTGAGACCACCATGGAGACCCTGGAATTGTGGGGCTACCAGAGTGGAACACCAGCCTGGAAGAGCTAAAGTGTGGCCTGAGACCAGGAAAGCCGTAGGAGCAGAGCTGCCCAAGGACTTGGGGAGCCAATCCCCATGCCAGTGTGCAGAGGACACCAAACATTGAGTCAAAGTACCTGATTTGCCAGCTTTGAGACTTAATGCCTACCCTGCTAGATTTTAGACTTGTTTGGGACCTGTTACCCCTTTCTTTTGGCCTATTTCTCCCTTTTTGAATGGGAATATATACCCTATGTTTGTCCCACCATTGTATCTTGGCAGTAGGTAACTTGTTTTGATTTCAGAGATGGGACTTTGAACTTGAACTTTGGACTTTTGAGTTGAAACAAGTTAAGACTATGGGGATGAAATGAATGTATTTGTATGTGAAAAGGACATGAGTTCTGCGGGGTCCAAAGGCAGAATGCAGTAGATTTAATTATGTCCCCCCAAAACTCCCTGAAGCTTGAATTGTGTCCCCCAAGTTTTATGCATTAGAAACTTAGCCCCAACTGTGACTGTTAAAAGGGTGGGAAATCCTATTACAGTAATTGAAAGGTGGAGTCTTGAAGAGGTGATTAGTTTGTAGGACCATGTGGCAGTGAATAGATTAAAAATGGTGGTCAGGGGCATGGTTTGAGGGCTTTTAATAGGAGACTGGATGAGGAGGTTAGTGCCTCACTCTGCTCCACCATTTTTCGCAATGTGATACCCTGCCGTCACTGTCACCACCACCAAGGTTTTCACCAGATGTGCTCCCTGCACAGTGGACTTTCCAGCCTCCCGTGGCGCACTCAGGAGAGTGTGGCGCTGGGAGCGCAGCAGCACTCCCGCTGCGGGTTCGGATCCTATATAGGGATGACCGGTGCGGTCACAGCACTCACTGGCTGAGCGCGGTGCAGCCGGTCACAAAAAGGACAAAAAAAAAAAAAAAGAAGAGGAGAGTCTGCCTCGCTCTTTCTGCTCTCTCCCTGCTCTCTCTGCTTCCACCATCTTGCAATGTGTGATCCCTGGGTCACTGTCGCCACCACCAGACAGACTTTGGACTTCCCAGCCTCAGAAACTAAGCAATAAATTTCATTTTCTTTATAAATTAAGCAACAGAAATGGACTAATACAGTCAGGTAAGGGGCATAAAGAATTATAATTTGTAATAATGAATATGCTAATAAAAAAATACATTTAAAAAAGGTATCACTTATAGACAGATGAACACAAAATCCAAAGCTCAAGACTTGGGCTGGCCTGTTAGTTCAGTTGGTTAGAGCGTAGCCTTGTAACACCAAGGTCAAGGGTTTAGAACCCTTGACCAACCAGCCACCAAAGATTTGGAAGCAGGTGAAATACAAACTGGCATATCAGTATTGAATTACAAGTTGAAATGGTGAATATGAAAGGCACAAACTATCAGACAAATGAAATAAACATCTTCTTTAAAATGCATTTCTGTTCATCATATAAGAAAAGAATCCAGTCTTACCCTGAATACAGGGCCAATACACCTTCTTCTTTATAGATTCGGAACAAGGCATGAAACATCCCTCTATATTTTATTTCTTTGAAACGGACATCGATGCTTTGCCCTTGAACTTGAAGTCGTGTCTTAGTAAGGTCCACAGGGAAAGTTCCTGTAAAGAAACATACTCATTTAAAAGTATTTCCAAAGAGCCATAGTTATGTTTTGCCTAAATGTAAGCCAATGACAATATTTGAAACGTAAGACAAAGTCCTTTTTATAACACGCAGAAGATCTCTACTAGAATACCATTTTCAGAGGACAAGAGTTGTATGCAGTAAAGTGAAATGTACTATATACTGTATCTATGAAGCAATTTGACCCACAGTCTACTTGAAGCTGTGATATAATAAAGTGCTTTAAGATAGTCCAAATATACAGTAAATGCAAAATAATTTAAATGTTTTAATTTCATCTGTAATATACAAGCTGGTATTTATCAGTGTCTTCCTCTTGCTCCCTCCCACCTTATGTCTCCCCATCTCTCCCTCATAAAATCTCCCCAAATTTTCAAAAAGATATAAAAGCATGGGATTGCTGCTCATATACTATTACAAAGTTTAGTGTGTTTTCTTTTATCTGTTTACAAGAAACAAACAGTTCCCCGATATTATAAAGATAATGGCAAAGTCCTATTTCGTTCTATTCATCCTCGTTCCTTAGGTAATTCATGACTAATACCAGCAGAGTTCTTGGGGAAAATTTCTTTAACCAAACCTCTTTCTCTTATGTGAACACATAGGGGTCATTACATTGGTAGAATATGTTTCAAAGAATATTTCAAGGTCTAAAACTAACAAGATGATTATGTAGCTCTGGTCACAACACCAGAGCACATACCAAGAAAGTCAACAAAGATTGGTGAATTGTAGTCACTTATGAATAGTTTAGGAAAGAAAATCTAGAGCATGAAAAATCACAGTCTAAAAATATTTCAAAATTAAAATCAAATAGAGAAGAGTCTCATTTGATCTTGTTAGTTTTCTTCTTAAACGGGACAGAGGTTTGGATACTTACTAAGAAAGTTATAAACAACTTAACATAAAAAAATGACCATTAGTATAGGAATATAGCAGAAACCCCTATCATATCCAACTCGCTCTATATTTTCGTGTATATTACTTAAGCCTAGCAAATTAATAAATCACTAGACTATCAAAAAAGCTTCCTAAGTTTGACTTTTCTTAACTTCATTTGCCATACCATTAGTAGTACTTTCTCAGAAATATTACTTGATGGCTTTGAGACAGTAATTTTTAAAACAAATAGAGCAAGCTTCTTTTTACTTTTTCTCTACTTTTCACTAAAATAGCTGTCATCATCCGCAACCGACTCTACCATAAGATACAGATTTGTCATTTTTCACATTCTTACCAAACTCAGCAACAATAGAGGCAAGGCCGCCATATACAAAGGGTTTCCAATTCAGACTAGACATCTCATGGCTTACAGTGGCACTTTTCTGGTGCTAAAAATAAACACAAATCAGAACAAGGCACAAGAGTGAGGAGCATTTGTTAACATCTGATCATATAAATTAGATCAACAAAATTGACAACTAAAACAGATGTAGAGGAAAAACTCCACCAAGTGGAATGACACAAAATGGGGGATCCTGTTTTAGGTGCTAGATTATCATGAATTTGTTCTTTACTGCCATTCTGTAGGGGTAGGCATGTGATTCACTCAAAACATCAACCTGTGTCCTTCATTCTCTATAGTTTCTTTAACATTATACTCATTCCCACCCAAAGAAGAGGCTTCAGTCCATCCAGTACACCCAACTTAGACATTCAACTAGACAATTACAAGTGAAGGAACCTGTAATTCAAGTTATATAAGGGGTCTTCAAAAAATTCATGGAAAGATTCATACTATCTTTTAATTCCATTTTTCCACGACTTTTTGAAATGCCCTTGTATAGGCTGAGGCATCTCATAAAAGCAGTTCATGGTATTCACTTAGCTTGATTCAGGTGCAAAACACAGGCTCTTACCACTGCCCTATCATATTCTTAGCCCTCTCATCTCTCCACTAAACTTTGGGGTTTTAGTTCCTCTGGCTACTTCTAGATACATATGACCCCCCCATCCAGGCTGAGCTAAGCATCTTTTCACATTCCTTCTTGCCCCCAGAGGAATGGCAGCAGTATGGATGATTTCTCTCTTATCTCTGGCATTCAACATACACCCATCTAGTGGATCTCCTTTTCCTTTCACATTCCTTCTTGCCCCCAGAGGAATGGCAGCAGTATGGATGATTTTTCTCTTATCTCTGGCATTCAACATACACCTATCTAGTGGATCTCCTTTTCCTTTTCCTTTTCCTGGCCTTTTAAAACAAACATATAGGGCCGGCCCAGTGGCGCACTGCTACAGTGCGCTGCTTGGGAGTGCGGCGGCGCTCCTGCCGAGGGTTCGGATCCCACATACAGACCGGCCACTCACTGGCTGAGCGAGGTGCGGGCGTGACACCAAGGGTTGCGATCCCGTTACCAGTCACGAAAAAAGACAAAAAAGGGAAAAAGAAAAAAAAACATATACAAATACTGTTCTTTTATGTTCCAGTTCTGTAACCATGTATTCTGCTCCCAGCACTCCCCCCCCACCTCCTTCCCCATTCCACCCCCATTAGACCTGTCATCTTCAATCTTTTCATCTTCTCTTTCTCTGCCACTCTCAGCTCTTTTTCTCTTGAATTTTACTTTTTTCCACAGCTCTGGCCTTTAGGCCAGTGGTTTTCTAATCTTAGCATGTACCAGAATCATATAGAAATTGTATTAAAACAGAGGTTACTGGGCCTTTCCCCCAGAGTTTCTGATTGGTGGTCTGGCCCTGAGAATTTGCAAGTTTCCAAATAATGCTGATACTTCCACACTTAAGAACTACTGCTCTAAGAACCACTTACTAAATCCTGGTCCAGCTGAAAGTAATATCTTTTGTTAGCATGAACTATCAGATTTCCTTTAAATATTCCTTTTTCAGAGCTTCACAATATGTATGCTTCTGAATTTCAAAAGCAATGTCAAGTGGTTTATGGTCAGGAATGAAGACTCTGAAGTCAGACTGCCTAAATTCAAATCTTGACTTTAGATTCAAATCCTGACTCCACCACTTACTAGTTCTGTGACCTTGGGCACGTTATGCAACCTCTCTGTGTCTCCATTTTCTGAACTGTAAAATGGGAATAATAATGAAAACAGTATCATAGGGTTGTACTGAAAATTAATACATGTACAACACCTAGAAAAGTGTCTGGCTGGGCCGGCCCGGTGGCGCACTGGAGAGTGCGCTGTTTGGGAGCGCGGCGGCACTCCCACCGAGGGTTCGGATCCCATGTGGAGACCGGTTCCTGCTCACTGGCTGAGCGCGGTGCAGGCGCAACACCGAGGGTTGTGATCCCGTTACCGGTCAGTAAAAAGGACAAAAAGGAAAAAAAAAAGAAAAGAAAAGTGTCTGGCACCTAGCTCAATAACTGTTAGTTAATTATCATTATTAAATTCTTGAAAATTCAAGTACCCAAAATTACATTTTAACATATATTACTTGCTGCTCACCTCCTCCATTGCCCCATCTGAGGTTAGCACCTTGAGTCACACTCTCCTTTTAGAGGAGATAAGGTTTTACTTAGTTTCTGCAAAAGGAATTCTCTGTAACTAAGCAAAGAGCAATTTTCCAGAGAAGACAGCAAACATGAAGATGAATGTGTTACAGGCCACAAAAATAATTATGGAAACTTCCTTTCAAGCATAGTATGTACATAGTCTGGAGTAGATAGCCCTTTTAGAGGAAAGTTGTTGAAAAGAATTCTAAGAAGCAAAGAAGGAACAGGCACTTCTAATGTCAGCTGCAGCTTGAAATAAGAGTCTTGAATACTAAATACTTATACTAAAATATCACCTTATTTTTATGAAATGATAATAGTAGTTGGTAGCTGATTTTGTTCAGTGTCTCTATTTGGCAAAATCAGACTGATTACCCTATATTTGTGCCCCCTCCCCACACCTTCATTTCAATTTTACTGGCCCATAAAATCCAAACATCTGGGGACCACTGGCCAAATCCAACACTGCTACTACTACCACTACCCCAACCCTATTTGATATTAAAATCTCACTCAGTCCAATGTTAAGAATCTTATGAAGAGATCCTATATCATCTTTAATTAGTCTGATTTTATTTTATTTTATTTTATTATTTTATTTTTTTAAAAGATGACCGGTAAGGGGATCTTAGCCCTTGACTTGGTGTTGTCAGCACCACGCTCAGCCAGTGAGCGAACCGGCCATCCCTATATGGGATCCGAACCCGGGGCCTTGGTGTTATCAGCACCGCACTCTCCCGAGTGAGCCACGGGCCGGCCCCCTAATTAGTCTGATTTTAGACAGTCCTTCCTCATACCAACCCAAAAGTCTGTCTTCCTCTTATTTTCACCCAGCCTCTGGAGGCAAATTCAACAAATTTATTATTTTTCCCTAGGGGAGTCCTTCAAATATTTAAAGACAGCTATCATGTTTTCCTACATCTTATCTTTCTCAGGCTAAATGTCCATCACAATTTTCTTCATTCTATGTATTATACTTCAATTACTGCAGCTGAAAATTGCAGTTGCTTTTTCAGGGGGCCATATCACACTATTGAATTAAACTGTCAGCTGAGGGGCCGGCCCGGTGGCGCACTGGATAGTGCGCCGCTTGGGAAGCGCGGCGGCGCTCCCGCCCGAGGGGGCGGGGCCCACAAACCGACCAGGTCCCCCCCCG